TTGCCTCTGAAACAAGAGAGTAGGTCTCTTTCTCGTTCCCTTTGATCCTTGTGCTAAAAGGGGAGACACACTTAGTAGGTCCTTTAAGTACCTTGACTGGGAACGGGTTATCCAGGAAAGCTCTCTGCAAGCCTCAATAAATTAGAACCAGCAAGTAGGTAGAGCAAGAGCTACCTTGTCACACAAGACTTCTAATCCTCTCAGAAGGGATTTGTGCAGATTAAAATAGTTTTTTGGAATGTTTTTGAATCTTTTTATTCTCTGAGTCTGCCTTGAATTTTAGCCGCCTTTTCTGAAAACTTACAATTGCCATCTTAAGTGAGAGATTTTAGGATAAGCATATTTAAAAATATATATTTATTGTTTTTATTTTCTGATATGAAAGTAGTATATGCTCATTAGAGAAGACTCTGAAGAAAGAATAAACATCATCCATCTTTTCTTTCATCTAGGATACAACTAAATTTTGCTAATATGTTTATGAATCTCCTTTCAATATTTAAGAATGTATATAATATGTATAATATTTAAACAACATTGCAAGTCATACATACATCCAGGTTGGTATCCTAATTTTTTCCCTCCCTTAACATGGTGTCACAAGTAATTTCCTGTGTCTTTAAATCTTTAAAAATAGATTTCTAGTCATTCTCTCTTACTTTAGTTACCCATTTCTACACTGCTGGAAATTTTGGTGGGTTTAGATCCACATAGATCCACGTAGGTCTTTTTGCCTCGGGTCATTTCTTGAGGATAGAACCCCAGAAATAGATTGTGAGGGGACTCACCTTGCTGGAGTGAGTACAGATTGGTACCACCTTTTAGGGATGTACCTCAAGGGGAGGCCTCTTTTTGCTCCTTCAACTCCGAGTGTTCCCGTGCATTCGCTGGGCCTCCCCATGAGCAGCAGCCACAGGGCCGTGTCATACCGAGGGCTGCTCTGCATGCTCCCTGATCATTACGTCTGTTGGTCCAGAGTCTCTTCTCTGCTTCCTTTCTGTCTCCCACCGCCTAGTGCCCAGTTTTCCCCTTCCTGTCATTGTATTTGTGAAAACACTGCTTATGTTTATTTTAAAATAAAAATATAAAAAATTTTTAATTAAAAATAAAATCGTATGTGTGTTGGGGGAGGCAGATGGTGGCAGGGCAGTCAAACACCATGTTCTGCAAGGCTGCTCCGAATGCAAAGGCACTGGATTTGCATCCAGACACCTCTCTGAGTACTCTGGGGTTGTGAGAGCCCATGACCCAGGATTGGTTGAAGCTAGGGGTGGATTGTGGCTTCCAGACCTTTTTGGGGGAGCCTTATGTTGGTGCAGTGATAACACAGTGCTCTATGAGGCTCATCCATAGGAGAAGGTTCTGAGTTCACGTCTGACGGGCTCCCTTGACATACCAGGCACGCACGTGCCCATGATCCAAAACTAGCTGAGGCTGGGGTTGGATCGCATTGTGAAGACCACGTTCAAAGTGCCTGTCTGTCACTCACTCATAGAAGAAAGAAAGAAACTTTTTAGAAATTCTAACATGGGACCAGCAGTTGGCATAATGGCTATGGCACTGGACTCCCATGTAGTTGACCACGGTTTGAGTCCCGGACCCAATGGCTTAAACTCACACCAGTCGTGTGTGCGTGCGTGCCCAAGATCCCGAGAGGAGAACGGAGAAGGGATTGCAGCATGATCATCCCCCATGGGGGGTTGATTTCTCACTTTCCGGCTCTGTGTCTCTCTGGCGAGCGTATGTGCCCTATCGCAAAAAGCTCTCAAAAAAAAAA